GCGATATTCAGTGGTGGACTAATGAAATTCTCTCTTAAAGAATGTCCTGTAATACAAGGAATTTTATCAAATTACTTCAATCTTGTGGAACACTGGAACATTTTCATGCTGGAGTCTTATAGCCTCTTAAAGAAGGTTTTTCTTTTAAACAAATCCCCAAAACAACAAGAAACATTTTGCATCTGATTTATTTACATCTGTGCAGATCTGCTGGTGGACAAACAATTGTGGTTGAACATTGCTGAATGTTTGTGGTCGACATTTGACACAGATACTGCTAAGGCGTCATTAGCGTGTGGTTGAAGGACTTTTTTCCATTTCTGCTAATATGAAACTCACAGTCTGACTTTAGCATTAACTAACCAGACTTTACCATGAACTACTGAATCTAACAGATATGTGATTTTCTCAGTTAAAACAGTATGTGATAAAATATCAGTCAATTCAAGTGAAGTCAGATTTATTTATATAGCACTTTTTTACAATACCAATTGTTTCAAAGCAGCTTTACAGAAAATTATGATGTTAATGTTTATAATATCTTAATGCCTCAGATTTGAGCCAGGAGATAGTCTACATTTTTGCAATGATGAAGCAATCAGGCAGTTGAGTTCTGATATATACTGACCTACACAAGTATACTGTATGCAGTGGTATACTCCAATATAAAGAGCTTATAGTTAAAGTCAGGCAGTTATTTCTGAAAACTACAGATGTTCTTGATATCAAACCCAAAACAGTTCATAACCTGATTTTGCCCGTCAATGTCCGAGAGTCATTTAAAAAATAAATGCAATGTATTGTTCACTGCTGCAATTGTTATATCATGCAGATGTCTGATGGTTGTTATTTACTTATTTTCACTTTTGGGGGTAATTATCTGCTAACAACACTACTAACAAAAAATGCTGCACTTCTTCTGGTCAATGACCTCAGAACTGCTAGAGTTCAAAAGAAAAGAAAACAGATCATATAGATATAAATATTCGGACATATATTGGAGTTTTAAGGGTAAAGATGGAAATATGTGTGGTTTAACTGTTTAGTGATGGTTGAAAGGAAGCTTTGCTGACAATGCTTTCTTCTAAAC